ACACACACCATGTTTGCACACAGGTGTTCTCTCTCCACACATGCCCATTTTGCTTGTGGGCACAAACCCTATAAATAAATAAATTGGAACAACTTTTGAAAAACCAAAGTGGATGCCTCCTGAGGAATGAACCAGAGACTGCCCTGTGACTTCAATATGCACATGCGCACACAGAGACATTACACAGAAACAAAGCATATCAAGGAATAAGATTCACTTAGTCAACACACAGCAAGGTGAAACAAACCCTGTGCCTGCTAAGAACCTGGGGTCAGGGAGGCTGGTTCCCTGAACTAGACTGTCTGGGGTGATTCACCCTCCCTCAGGGAGAAGCAGGTGGGGCAGGGCATTGCCTGACCCAGTGGGCACCTGCTGAGTGGTGGCTGAGGCCAGCGCCCACCTGGCTCATGCTGGCCTCAGGGCCTTTGCACATGCTGCTCTGTCTGGCAGGGGAGCCTGGGTCTGTGCCTGCCAGGATCCCACCGTAGAGTGGAGCACAGTTTGTCTCTGTGTATTGTACCCACCCCTACCCCTAACCCTGTATACCTTTCTTAGGCCTCCAGAAAGATCTAGGGCTTAGCTAGTGAGAACAGATGGGCCCATTTCAGGGGTCCTTGGGGCTGCAGTGACCCCAGGAAGCTGAGACCTCCCAGCCCTCCTATCTCAGCTGGCTCTGAGAGGTCTCTGAGAACAAGGTTCAAAAAAGACCCCTCACATGGGGCTGCTCCAGGGGATGACAAGGCTCTGTGGAGGGAGAGCAGCTCGATGGAGAGGCTGCAGGACACTGGTATTTTTAGGCACTGAACGAAGCCCTGAAGTATGTCTGTGGCCCCTCCCATAGCAGGCTGGGTGACTGTTTTGGAGCCTGGTTCCAGCAGAGGCGGGATGGGATGGAGGGCATGAGTCACTGCCTGGTGGCTTTGGAAGAGGCTGGGCCAAGGGAGGGAGCTTGCTGGGTGGGACCTCACATGGAAGCAATGGCCTTGTGCAGCCCCCAGTGAGGCTCAGCCTAATGGCAAAATTGCCTGGGTCCTCAGTGGGCCACAAGTTGGTCTTTACTGACTCCATAGCTTGTAGAAAGTAAGGTCAGGACAGGAAAGTATTCCAGGACGGCCTGGAATACTAACTCTTTAGACAACAGGCCCTGCAATCCTGTCTCCCATACCCCAAGTTCTAAAGCTCAGGATCAAACCCAGGACTTTGTGCACCCTACGTGTACTGGGACTCTCCATGGCCTTTAATCCCAGAACTTGGGAAGCAGAGACAGGTGGATCTCTGAGTTCCGAGACAGCCAGGGGTTAAAAAAAAAAAAAGTAAGGTGTAGACAACATGGATGCCCCCTAAGAGGCCCTCAATGCATGCATTAATTACCTAGTGCTTACTTTATACCAGGCTGGCCCTAGGGTGACCACTGTGCCATTATGCATTTATCATTCCCACCACACAAATTATTTAGCACTTGCTGCATACCAGGCAGGTCCTAGGGGTGATGGTCATTGTGTCATACAATTGATGCTAGGCCTGTGGTTTACCCTCACTGTGCACCTATTGATCACCTGCTGCATACCAGCCTGGCCCTAGGATGATTAGAACATCATGTATATATTTATTGAGCACTTACTCTGGTGAAGGTACAGTTATTACACAGCAAGGAAACTGAAGTACAGTTGGGTTGAAGTGGTTCAGGCACCTAACCCACCACCTCCAGGCCTGTGTGGCCACAGTTGCTAGGCCAAGAGGCCTTGTTTTGTTGTGCAGTGCAGGGGAGGGAACCCCAAGCCTCCCCACAGGCTGAGTGAGCCGCACCCCTTCCCAGGGGAGGATTTTATTTTTTTGCAAGTGTATCCCTGAGAAGCCCAGCAACCCCCGCACAGTGTGTGCGTGTGTTTGTGTGTGTGTGTGTGTGTGTGTGTGTGTGTGTGTGTGTGTGTGTGTGTGTGTGATGTTATTTTTCCAGAGACGGTCTCCCTGTGTAGCCCAGGCTTGCCTTGCACTCACAGAAATCTACCTGCCTCTAGTGCTGGGATTGAAAGTGTGCGCCTGTCCAGCCACCACTGTCTATTGCTGGGCAGCTAACAAGGGCACCCTCTGGGGGTGGTCCTGGGAACCTTCTCAATGTGCTGGGGACACATCCCCATCACCCTGGAATCTTCATCTCTCCATCTGTGGTCCCAGGGAGGAGTGGAGTTGGAATTAGGTACGGAGCTGAGCAGGCCTGGACCATAGTTGGAAGGAAGGTCCAGCCTGGGTCCCTGTAACTGATGAAGGAAGGTGGCCAAGGAAGAGCCCCTGGGCTGCCAGCAGCAGGCTTGAACAGCCTACTTCTCTCTGGCACCCATCCTTAGGCATGCCACCAGGTCACAGGGAAACTGCCCTTGCTCTTCTTTCTTATGGAAGGTGGAGGGGGGAGCCCCTCATTCTCTACCCTAGCTGAGCCCCAGCACCTCCTCAGTTCACGTCTGCTGACACAGGGCCTTTGCATCGGCCTGGAATACTAACTCTTTAGACAACAGGCCCTGCAATCCTGTCTCCCATACCCCAAGTTCTAAAGCTCAGGATCAAACCCAGGACTTTGTGCCCACTACCTTTACTGAGACTCTCCATGGTCCGGGGGGGGGGGGGTCAGAGTTCGACCTGTGGTACCGGTTCTCCCGTTCCACCATGCAGGTCCTGGAAGTCAAACTCAGGTTGTCAGGTTGGTGGGAAGCACCTCCACCCACCCAGCAATCTCATTGACTCCCTTTTCCCAGTCTTGAATGTCATCTAACCCCTTCTCTGGTGGCCTCTTCAGCTGGCTGGCCTCTTGTCCCAGTTTCCCCTGGGGAAGGGCAGGGCTGCAGGGCAAGGGTTTCACCATGTTGGCTGGGTGCCAGTCCCTGCATGCTCTGCCAGCCTTGGGGCCACTGTGGGACATCCATGTGTCTACAAGGTTTGTGGCCATGCACCTGGTGCCCCCCCTTAAGCTGTATGCTATTGAGGTCTGCCTGTGAGGGACAACACAGTAGGAAGACACCTGTCATGGAAGGTGGCCCCTCTGCAGTCCCTGGACCTGGTGAGTCACCCTGTAGCTCAGGCCCCAGCAACCAAGGGGACTGCAGGCAAGAGTCCTGTGGGAGGGACTACCCACAGGAGAGCAGCTGAGGTCAGATGATGGGTGTGGCCACCAGCCCAGCAGGCCTGGCTTAGACAGAAAGATCGGGAAGCCAGACTTCAGGAACTAACCCTGGCTTCTGGTTTCCTTTATTCTACGGAGGGGCTGAGGCCAGATTCCTGGAACTCAGTGGGAAGAACACAGAAACCTAGTGCACCTGAGCCAGGGCACATGACCCAGGATGCAAAGGCAGCTGAGGTGTTGCAGGAGGGTGGTGGTGGGACAGGAATGTGATGGACACAGGGCCCAGGGTCTCAGACAGCAAGAGACCAAAGGGCCAGGATAGAGAGGGCTGTGCTGTGTCCTGACCTTAAGGGACAGTAAACTGAGACAGGGGAGCAGGAGGGGCCTACATAGTAGCACACACCTTTAATCCTAGCACTTAGGGAGCAGAGGCAGGTGCATCTGAGTTCTAGGCCAGCCTGGTCTACACAGGAAGACCTTGTCTCAACAACAAACCCCACACTAGATTTTCTTAGTTTATAGTGTTTGAGGCATGGTCTTACTCAGCAGTCAGTCTGGAACTCACAGCAGTCCTCCTGCCCATGCCATACCAGGCCAGGCTCACAGATCTGAAGTGTGAGGACAGGATGGACCCATGGGCTGAGCTATACCTGCCACAGTCCTTACTCCTAGGCAGGTCTAACAGGGTGACTGGCCTGCCGCAATGCACACTCTCACAGCGCTGTCCAGGCAGAGTATCACATTGGACCCAGCTGAGGGAAGGGGTGGCCCTGTGGTAGATTGCATCAAGACCAGGCCACAATGCCAGGGCTACCTCGCAGGCTGGCACTCAGGCTCCAGCTGGGAGCAGACACAGGACAGCACAGACCCTCACAGCCACCTGACCTGAAAAAATTTTTTTTCGCAGGTCACAGCTCAAAGCAGTCCTCTACACTGCACTTCCAGTAAGGACAGCACGGTGTCATCTATCAGCTACGCACATGCTACTCAGCTGACACGGGGTGGACATAATTAAAATCATATAACATAGAACTCCTCCTCTGTTTTTTTTTTTTTTTTTTTTCAAAACAGGGTTTTTCTGTGTAGCCCTGGCTGTCCTGGAACGTGTTCTGTAGACCAGGCTGGCCTCGAATTCTAAGAGATCCACCTGCGTCTGCCTCCCAAGTGCTGGGATTAAAGGTGTGCTAAAATACATTTATCATCACTGTGTGGGCAAATGGGCCCTGAGCACAGGGCCCTACAGGAACTGGAGACAGAGCTCACTTGGTCGGCAAGCACTTGCCAAGTGTTCATGGAGCTCTGGGTTCCACCCCCAGCAGCCCCTGGCTGGAACTCCATTTCCTAGGGCTACAACATCATCTTCTGGTGTTCATGGGCATCAGACATGCATGTGGTACGTATACACACAAACAAACACCCACACATAGAAAAAATAAATGTAGCCGGGCATTGGTGCTGCACGCCTTTAATCCCAGCACTCGGGAGGCAGAGGCAGACAGATCTCTGTGAGTTCGAGACCAGCCTGATCTACAAGAGCGAGTTCCAGGACAGCCTCCAAAGCCACAGAGAAACCCTGTCTCGAAAAACCAAAAAGAAAAAAGAAGTTCAACCCATAGTGTGTTCTGTTCACCTGCTCTGGGATGTGAGCTTGGGTTACAGGCTTCTGTTTCACTAGGTGAGCAAATCATTAGCCCTGACCTCCCCATACCCCTGCCTCAGCTTTCACAGTGCTGTAATCACAGACCTGGCCTTTTTGTCATATAGCCCAGGCTGGCCTGGAACTCTTGTTCCTCCTACTTAATCCTTGTAAGTGCAGGATCCGTTCCACGCTCCCGTCTGCTAGCAGGACCAGGAGACAGATGGACAGACACATACACACACGTGCTCCTGGAATTGCTGCATGTGACAGAGGGCACAGCTGGCCCTTCAGATGCTTCCTTTATTTTCATAGCAGAAGAGGTGTGGAGTCGGCTGGGGAGAGACAGGCCAGCCTGGTATGTGCTGGTCCTGTGGCTCCAACATGAAGCTGAGTCAGTGAAGGCCGGGGGCTTCATGCAAAGGCGCTGGCAGCTGGCCCACCGCTCGGGGCTCTGCTTTGGCTGTGTCCCCTCACTGCTTGCCTGCTTGCCGCCCAGGCTTCTTCTCCGTTTGACCTCGGCCCGCACCTGGGATGCCACCCCGGCCCCGGCCACCAAACACACCTGCAGGTGAGAGAAGACGCAGTGGCTGAGGCCTGGCCTGCAGGAAGACCCCAGGCTGTACCTGGCCTGGGCCCAGGCTGGGGTTCCCATGCCCTCACCTTCCCACAGAAGCCCACACCCTCATGGAAACTGAACAGGGGGTTCCGGGGTGTCCCTCAGACCTCATCAGGGTCCCACCTCGGCCAGCGCCGCCCATGCCTCGGCCTTTCTGCTGCTTCTGCTGCTGTGGTCCCCCTCGCCCTCGGCCCTTGGCGGCCTCCTCCCGCACCATGTCAATGATCTCATCAGGGATGCGCAGGTACTTGATGGTGCTGCCACGGATATAGCACTCAGGCATTCGCCAGAACTTGTCACCGTCCTGTTTGAGAGAGGTGTCAGGGATGGCAGTCCCTCCAGTCCAGCAGTGCACCCTCCCAGTGAGGTCACTCACCCTCGATGTACAGATCACCTCTCGAAGGTTGATGTTCATCCAGTTGTCACAGCTCACCAGGTGCCCATTGTATGTCTCCCCATTCTTCAGCTCCACCAGCTGTAGGAGAGTGGGCAGCTCAGCCCAGCCAAGCCCCGCCCTGGGAGCCAGGTAGCCTGGCCCCACCCCCACAGGCCTCAGACACATCTGGCTTCTGGTCCTGAAACTACACTCTTTTGAGTAGCTAAACTTAATCTTTAGGGGTTGGGGTATCACTCATTGGGAAGTGCTGTGATGACCAGGCAAGGCCCCAGGTTCTCCAACACAGTGCATGAATAGAGACAAAATAAAATTCCTTACAAGATGGGCATGGTGGAACACACCTGTCATTCCAGGACTCTGGAGGCTGAGGCTGGACAGTAAGGAAACAATGGACAAGCCCAGTCTGGTCATCTAAACAAGGAGTGTTTTTTTTTTTTTAATTTATTTATTAGTTCTAGTTAGGGAACAAGCTTGTTTCACATGTAAGTCCCTTCTCCCTCTCCCTCCCCTCAACCCTACACAAGGATTGTTATACAGCCAAGAAAAGTGGATGAACCTCAAAACTGTGTTGAGTGACACAGACAGACCACATGTTCCTCACTAAGAAATGCCCTCAACATGCAAAGGCAGGCATAGCGGCCAGATGATGGGAAGGGCTTGGGACGGATGCTGAGGGAAATGACGTTGACTGAAGTTGTAAGAATGTTCTGCAATGAGACAGGTTGAGCCCTAGCTGTGTAAATCTGTAAGCAAACTACAGGTCAGAGGCAGCACTGCTCTTTCGGTACTGGGGATGGAACCCAAGCCCGTACCGTCCATGCAGTCACAGTCCTGCCTCTTTTAACAAATTCAGTCTCACACGCTGCCCAAGCTGGCCTCTGCCTGCCTCTGCCTCCCGAGTGCTGGGATTAAAGGTGTGCGCCACCAATGCCCTGCCCTGGAGTTATTTTTTTAAAAAACATTTTTTGGACCTGTTACTCATCTTATTACATTTGTCATTTTGTCTGCGCTCAGGGACAGTGAGTGTGGAGGGCTGAGGACAACGGGAGGGGTCAGCTCCCTCCTTCCATCACTATGTGGGGATTGAACTCAGGTCTTTACGCACCTTCACCCACTGAGCCATCTCTCCAGCCCTCCCAGCACGAACTGCAAAGGACTGGGTATGGACACACGAAGGAGGTGGCCCAGAATGGGTGTACTCACCATGGGGTGATTCTGCGCCGTCTTGAGCAGCGACAAGGGAAGCTGCAAGGCAAATATCAGGTGAGTGTCCCTGATGCACCAACAATTCCATGGGCGAAGTTACCCCCACCGGACAAGACTGCGGAAGTCACCCGTGACCTCACACTGTCCCCTCCTGCAGGTGGCAACCACCCAGACTTGCCTGGACCATTTTGGTCATTTCTCCACAATTCCTGCCACCTAAACCACAGGATGGAGTGTGGCCCTCCATGTCTAGAGGTAGCACCCTAGTGGGTTATTTAACTGGCTGGATTCCTGGGACAGTCTTGTGAAAGGGACTTACATGTGAAACAAGCTTGTTCCCTAACTAGAAGCCAGTCTGGGACATTATGAGGACTCTGTCTTAATAAAGGACAAACTGAACAGTTGGTAGGCTGCAGCCTTCTGAACCCCAGGGCTACACTAGTGCCTGGGATTTCTGCTTCCACTGTGCTGGGGATAAGGCCAAGGGTTTTAAACCCAGTGGGGAAGGAATCCCTGAAAACACAGAGGAGGCCTTGTCCCTTGGCCTGGGGCACGGGCTGGGGCCCAAGTGGAAGGGCTGAGGGCTGCGGAAGGACGTGGTGACAGAGCAGCTAGTAACACTCTACCTTCCAGCCCAGTCCCACAAAAACCAACATAAACGAGGTGCGGCACTGTACACTTGTCACCCTTAGTACCAAGAAGGCTGAGGCAGGAGAATCAGTAGTTCTGGATGATCCTCAGCTAGTTTGAGGTCAGCCTGTAACCAAAACTCTCAACAAAAACCAAAACACAGCTGGGCATGAGGGCACGCATGCTTAACCCTAGCATTGAGAGGCAGAGGCAGATGATCTCTATGAGTTCCAGGCCAGCCAGGGTTACATTACATACTGAGCCCTCATCTCAAAAGACAAAGAAAACAAGAGCCCCAGACTCCTCAGGAGCCATCATGTGCAGCACAGTGACTTTGGGTCCTGAGAGGATCAGGGGACCCTGCAGCCCATGACCCTTCCTGAGAAGAGCTGGGGAGGCTTGGTAGCAGGAGATGAGGCTCGAGCCCACTTCCTGTAGAGGCTTCCTGGAAAGGCAGGAGGCTTTGGTGGTTACTGACAAGGGTGTCCAGGCTGATCCTCAAATAAATAAATAAGAGCTGCAACATGGCAGCCTATGGGTAAGCTCCAAGGAGACAGGAGCACCATCATTCCTGGCTACAGTGTGAAGCCAGTCTGGGACATTATGAGGACTCTGTCTTAATAAAGGACAAACTGAACAGTCAAAGGGGCAGGCGCACAGCTCTCCTGGAGCTGCTATGGCCCAGCCCAGGCTGGGAGCTGGCTACCAGGCAGCCATAATGAGACCCATCCTACTGTTGAACTTTTGTCCCTCCCACCAGGACCCCAACCACTGCCTAGGGTGCTCTTCCCCAGACTTTCCTTGCCCAGTGCAGCTGAGCAGGCCCTAATGGCCACCTTGTTTCCACCCAGCGCAGCAGAGGCTGCTCTGTAATTACGGGGTGATTAGCACCAGTCTCCCCGGCTAGACAGGAGATGGGTGTGGGTGCTGCTGTGGCTAAGAGGGGCAGTAAACACACAGGGGTGGGGACACTGACAGCAGGGGCACCCGGCACAGGTGCATCCTGTCCAGCCGCACCCTGAAAGGCTGTGGTGGCCCTCGAGGGCCATGTGGGGTGAGGGTCCAAACCGAAAAGGAGATGTGAATGGAAGCGGGGCTCCTGAGTCAGTGCTGTGGCTGGGAAGCCTGGGTTACCGTAAGGGCTCTTGCCTATGCTCGAGCACACACACACAGACCCACGTGCTCACACACACAGGTACGTGCGCCCTCACACAGTGACATGGGTCAGGGTGGGCAAGGCACCCATACGGCCACTGTCTTTGGGAGGGGTGTATTGTAGCTCACACAGAGCACCTGCAGGTGTCACAGCCACCGGTTCTAGGCTCCAGTCCCAGCACCTCCCACTGAAAGAGTCAGTTTCAGCAAAGGAAATCCCTTCTTGGCCATCCTCCAGACCCCGGGGTACTGTGTAGATGAGGTGGGTGGAGGCCCAAAGCCAAGGGCTCTGAGTTCAGGAATGCTCAGCGGGAACATTCCTGTCCCAGACTGACCCAGGAGATCTGGGAGTGTCTCTGTGTGGTTGAAGAGGTGGGTGGCCCGCCCTGGACGCCACGGTTTGGCGACCTTCCAGGAAGGCCAGGGCTCAGGGCCTGGGAGGGTGCTATGTGGTGGGAATAGATTAAGTCTTGAGGGTTCAGAATGTGGGGAGCGCTTGCTTACTGTGGGATCTGGCACCACACAAACCAGGCAACCTGCCTGCCAACCCAGCACGTTGGAGTGAAGGCAGGATCAGAAACTCAGGATCATCCTCGCCTACAAAGGGAGTTCAGGACCATCGTGGGAGCTACGAGACGGGTGTGCAGATGCACACGGGTCTTCTCCACACTCCAGAGACCGAGGGAGGAGGATCAGGAGTTCGAGGCTAGCCTGGGCTACGTGATGTCCAGTTTTAGAAACCAGTACAAAACCGAACATGCTACCATCAAGAACTGAGATGGAGACCCGCCCTTCTCTTCGCCACCATGTGAAGTCTGTAGGAGCCCCAGGGCTCGGGAGCTGAGCGTGAACCAGAGGAAAGCACTTCCTTCCTTCCGAGCAGGACACGCTGAGCGTCCCAGGAAGAAACGTGACTCCATCTGTGCTGGATTTGCAGCAAATGGCGTAGGCAGCTACAGCCAGACACCAGATAAAAGTCAGCCGGGCGTTGGTGGCGCAGCCTTCAATCCCAGCACTCGGGAGGCAGAGGCAGGCGGATCTCTGTGAGTTCGAGGCCAGCCTGGTCTCCAGAGCGAGTGCCAGGATAGGCTCCAAAGCCACAGAGAAACCCTGTCTCGGAAAACCAAGCAAACAAAAAAGAGAGACAAGCGGGCCACAGGAGCCCACGTGAGGCCTCAGGCCCGCCCACTTCCCGGAAGTGCAGTATTCCTATCAATGAGGGCGACAAAACCCGGAAGCGACCATTGTCCCTCTTCGGTTCGCAAACCATGTGTCCCTCCCGGGATAAATCCCCGACGGCCGCGGCCGGGGCCTGCAGCGGCCCCTGTCGCCGGCGGTCCCGGCGGCTCCCCCGCGGCCGCCTGTTGGCGGCCCACTAGCCTGCGGGGACTGACAGAGGCTGCGGCCAATCAGAGAGGGGCTCGCGGGACGCTCGCCCAATTGGCGCGGAGGAGGGCGGTGCCTGGGGAGCGCGACGGCTCGGCGCGCCGGATTCGCACCGTGGGCTTCAGGGGCGGCCGTAAAGTGCGGCCGGAGAGACGCAAAAGGCCGCGGCGCGCCTCGTGCCCGCTCCAGGTGTATGATGGGAAACGGCGCGTGCGCAGCCGTGCGCCGCTGGGTCTGGTGCGGCGCCACCTCGTGGGCGAAGGTGGTTAGTGCCGGCTCCCGTGCCTGAGCGCGGACGGCCGCGGGAGGGGAAGACGGACCTGTGTCGGAGACAGGCTGGTGGTCCTCAGCCGCGCGTAATGAGCGTGGGAAGGCTGTAAACACAGCCTGGTCAGGAGCCCCACGACACGCCACAAGACCAGACCCCATGACGCCCGCTGCACACCTGCAGCCACCTCGTCTCCCTGGGATCCGGCCTTCTGCTGGGCACAAGCGACGACGGCCTTGGGGACACAGGCTCAGGGCCCTCGTTAAGAATTGAGACTGGGGCCTTGTGTGATGACCCTCAGCAAACTGTATGCACGTGTGTATGTGTGTATGTATGCATGCGTGTATGCATGTGTGTGTGTATGTAGTGTATGTATGCATGCGTGTATGCATGTGTGTGTGTATGTATGTATGTATGCACTATATATGTGTGTGTGTATGCATGTATGTATGCACTATGTATGTGTATGTATGCACTATGTATGTGTGTGTGTATGCATGTATGTATGCACTATATATGTGTGTGTGTATGCATGTATGTATGCACGTATGTATGTGTATGTATGCACGTATGTATGTGTGTGTATGCATGTATGTAGGCACGTATGTATGTGTGTATGCATGTATGTATGCATGCATTCTTGTATGTATGCACGCATGCATGTATGTACGTATGTTCCTTCTTGCTCAGGACACTGCTGTTGCCTTTGCTTTTTGCAGACAGGGTTTCCCTGTGTTTCCCTGTGTAGCTCGGGCTGTCCGGGCTGTCCGGGCTGGCTGGCCTCTCCGTCAGGCGTGCTGTGATTGAAGGTCTGCGCCCCGCGACCGCACGCTGCACAATGTGTGCTTGCCAGAAAGCACTTCGCCCCACAGCGCCCCCCCCCCCGCCCTTCTTTCATTTCTGTTTGATTTCTGGCTGCTGGGAATGAGCCTTCCCGAGCAGCACAGCTGCTTTACCCAGGGACGCGCTCCCCAGCCCCGCTCTCCGGCTCTGTGAGTGAGGGCCAGCCTGGACCAGGGCGGTTGAGCACTGTGGTGCGCGATCGCCAGCCACCTCGACACTGAGGAGGCGGAGGCCATCATCGGCCACACTCAAGAATAGGCTGCTCTCGGTGACTGTCCTCAATAGCATTTCTTCCTTCCCTTAGGGACGGCCTGCTCTAAGCCGGCACCAAAGGGTGCGTGACGTCACCTGTGGGGGTCAGGATCTCAGACACCCAGGGAAGGAGCGTCCCAGCATGGGGCCTTGCACCCCAACAGCAGGCCTGGCGAATTCCTCAAAGCTGGAGTCACCCTTCAAGAGGAGCCTCGGCGAGCTCCTCAGATCCAGCCTTGAACCTGAGGTGCTGCCGGGAAGCTCGCCGGGTCACGAGGGTGAAGGGACCAGGGCAAAGCTGCCCTAAGGCTACGCAGGACAGCGCCTCAGTGTGGAGGAGGAAGTAGGCAGGAAATCGCAGGCTGTGCCACGCTTTTGAGCCTTTTCTAGACTTTTCTCTGAGCACTCTTCTTTGCCCATTTCCAAAACTCCCTTTCTTTCAAGCTTGAGACCTGTGCTTGGGCGCCCCGTGTGGCGCAACTGCGTCACTTCAGTTTTGGTTAGATAATCTCCCCCCCACCTTTTGTTTTGTTTTGTTTTTTGAGACAAGGTTTCTCTGTGTAGCTTTGGAGCCTATCCTGGCGCTGCTCTGGAGACCAGGCTGGCCTCGAACTCACAGAGACCCGCCTGCCTCTGCCTCCCGAGTGCTGGGAGTGCATAATTCCCCTTTTTTTCTGTTCTTTTTTTCCTTGACAACCTGGATGAAACCGAGGGCTTCACAGATAAGCCACGCCCCCAGCCCTTCTCTAGGGGATTCTAAGCTGTCACTCCACCCCTGAGCCACGCCTCCAGCCCTTCTCTAAGGGGAGACTGAGCTGTCACTCCACCCCTGAGCCCCACCCCGGGCCCCCTCACTGGAGGGTTCTAAGCCCCTGTCCTGCTGACTCATGAGCTTCTCCCACGTTTTCCTTTAGAGAGGTCATAGGGGCGTTCTCTGACTGGCCAGACTTGTGTGCTGGCTGACCAGGGAGAAACCTGATAATAGCCTCAATAAACGCCCCACAACCCTCATCTCTTTGCACCTACAGCTCACAGACAAAATGCGGGGCAGAGCTTCAACAGAGGCAGCACGTGTGTCCTGGGCCGCTGCCGCTGAGGCGCTCAGGAGCAAGTGTGCTTCTATGTGGCTTCTTCCAAGTGGAGAGGGAGGGTTCCAAACTCGAGTGAACGATGCAATAAAGAATTACTGGCTATACCGGGTGGTGGCGCACACCTTTAATCACAGCACTCAGGAGGCAGAGACGGGCGGATCTCTGTGAGTTCAAAGCCAGCTTCGTCTACAGAGCGAGTGCCAGGACGGCCAGGGCTACACAGAGAAACCCTGTCTCAAAAAGAAAAAGGAAAGGAAAAAAAGAAAGAAAAAGAAAAAAGAAAAATGCCTTACGTCAAGATTTTGTGGAGGCATCTTCTCAATTGGGGTTCCCTCCTTTCAGAAAACTCTAGTTTGTGTGTCAAGTTGACATAAGACCAGCGTACCTGTCATCCCAGCACATACACAGAGGCGAGAGGGACGTTGTGCTCCCAAAAAAACATGTTGATGTCCATAGATGAGCCATGGCCGCCACCTCAGGCAGCTGTGGGCAAACAAGCTTCTTTTGCGGCGGTGTTGGTGACTGCAGACTCAGAGCTGATGATGAGAGCATGGAGGACGCAGCCTTAAACAGGGCACCTGTCCCTCACCCCACCCCAGCTCCCAGGGCTCCAGGAACAACCTGGAAGGAGCGAGCGGGCAGAGACTGCCCAAGCCTGAGGGAGTGTGCAGAGCTATGGGGCATGATGGGACCTGGCACTCAGGAAGTCATAGCAGCTGGGATCCCTGAACCAGGACAGGCAGCACCCTGTTAGGGAGGCCTAAGAGGCCTGGCCCCTCCCTGAGGACTTGTAGGCAGATCAGGGCTGTGACCGGTGTTTTCTCCTATGGAGTAGCCTGGGGTAGTGTCTGCTCCTGTAGGCAAAGCTCAGTACACTCAGGGAATCCCGGGAAAGAAAAAAAGGAAGGAGGCAAGGAGAGAGGGAGGGGGAGGGCCGGAGAAGGGCTGGGGAAGAGAAGGAACATGAGGGAAATTTGTCAGGTGTGTATGAAAGTGCCCCACGGAAGCCATCTTTCAGTGAACACAGCATACCTAATCCCAGTGCATAGGAAAGAGGCACTATTATTGTCTAAAGTGCCTCAGCATTACCAGAGCCAAAAGTAACAAACAAACCAACAGTTTCAGCAATGCCTGGGTGGGGGGCACATCATGTTCCCCAGCCTTTGGAACAACGGCAGGGGCATTGCTCCAAGTTTGAGGCTAACCTGGTCTGTGTAACAGAAACACTTCTGAAAACAGAAAGGGAGGGGAGAAAGAAAGGAAAGAGCAGGGGATGGAAGTGGTGGCCATGTCTTTAATACTAACACTTGAGAGGCAGAGCCGGGTGGATCTTTGAGTTCTGAGTTCAAGGCCAGCCTGATCTACATAACAAGTTCTGGACCAGCCAGGGCTACATAGTGAGAAGCTGTCACAAAAATAACACAAAATAAAAAATGAACAAAAGGTAGGGTCTATGAGATGGCCGAGTGAGTAAAGGCACTCGGGGCCACGCCAGGAATGGAGGGAGTGAAGTGTGGCCCTTAGTTCTCTTCTCGCCAAGGCTCGTGATCTGTCACAAACTGTCACAGGCAGTCCTGGCTGAGGCCCTGAGGCCCGAGCCACAGGCTGCACTTGTCCTGTTTCCTCAGGGTGTTCCGAGTGTTCCAGATGGTGGGTGCTGGTGGAGGCGTGTCCTGGAGTTCCTTTTGCTCCAGGCCTCCAGGGAGGGTCTGACTGATGCCAAGCAGGATATCAAACAGCCCCAACTCGATGCTTAGTTTTCAGGGAAATGATGAACTCAGACTAGGAACTTAAAGCATGTGTCATCTACGCACCAGGACATCTGTGTCTATTCCACATCCAGGGGTTGAAAACAGGGTTTTGGATAGCTGCACACACAACACCCCCAAACCCACCTGGGTGGAGAGATGCTCTTCCACAGGACATGGGTTCGATTCCCAGCACCCACATGATGGCTCACAGCCACCTGCACTAACTGCAGTTGGGGGTCAGAATGCCATGTTCTGACCTCAGGCATCTGCAGGAACCCTCCCACAAATATATAATTAAAGGCCAGTGCCAGCATTGTTTAGAGAATTGGGGGGGGGGTACAGACAGGCAGGGAGATGGCTCAGAGGATAGAAGTGATTGCTGTGAAAGACCTGAGTTTAAATCCCAGGA